AGGGGGGGGGGTTTGCATGGTTTTTTGTTTGTTTGTTTGTTTGGGGGTTTTTTAAGGTTGTATTTTGGGGTTGCATGACTTTTCGTTTTTAAGGGGGGGTGGGGTAATCTGGGGTTGTACGTTCTTTATTTTATTTTTTTATTTTTTTGGTATTTTGGCGTTCATATTTGGTTCGTTTTTCGTTTCTGGTATTTTGGGGTTGCATGTTTTATCTATTTTTAACACTGGTATTTTGGGTAGAGGCGTTTCATGTTCTACCACAGTGACAGCTTCCTGTTGGGGTTTGTCCGATCAGTTTTTTGGGTATTCCACAGCGGTCAAAACCAGTTCAGGGTTGTCTTTGGCATCGTGGCCTTTGAAGGCTATACCGGACTAACTGTTATTTTTTTAAAAAATATATAAGTGGTTTTTATCTCCCCATCGCCACAATTTAGATCATTTTGGTTGCGGCCTTAAGCCTACGTGTCGGGGCCAAACCGGGCTGAGAGGGACGCAACATCCCATCAGAAAGATCGAGCGAGATACTCTTATCAATTTTTTCTCCTCACTCGGGAATCGAACTCCTGCATGCGACAGCGAAGTGCTTAACCAAGGCAGACAAGACGCTCGTTTCATCCCTTCACAACAACAACCACAACAACAACAACAACAGCAACAACACGACCAACAGCAATAACAGCAACAACAACAATAACAACAACAACAATAATAACAAAAAGAACAACAATACCACCACCAACAACAACAACAACAACAGTAACAACAACAACATATTATTCATATGTACAGAGATGGAATCATAGGCCTCTGTGCTGCAGTGGTAAGCCACTTTGCTATTGCTCGTAAAGGACTTAAGTTCGATTCCCGAGACCAACAGTTTTGTTTTTCTTAAAATGGAATATCTCTGTCTGCCTGCGGGGATGTTGTATCCCACTGAGCCCGGATTGGCTCTGACAGACAATGACGAAGCAACCCGCCTCCCAAAACTAATAATGATAATAATAATAATAATAATAATAATAACAACAACAATAATAATGATAATAACAACACCCCCTACCAAAAAACAAACAAACAAAAAAAAAACCCTCCCCCCAAAAAATTATAATGTAAAACAAAATTTTTAAAAAAACCTACCACGTAGAGAGGAGGGAGAAAGGAGAAGGGAGGATAGTGAAGGGCAGGAAGGAGGAGGGAAGATGGAGGAAAGAAGCGGGCGGTGATCAAAACAAAGTCGGACAGCAACAGTGTGTTTTGGTTGACCCCCCAGTCTTTTGGACCCGTCTCAGATGACGGCAAGGCGCCATTTCTGCTTGTTTTTCGCGCCAGAGTCTCGGCTCCTTTAGTGCGGAGTGTTGTCCCTGGCTTTGACAGTGCGCCTGTCCAACAGGGAGCAGGCGAGGCGAGTGACACGGAGCAGACCGAAACACACAACTCTGCATGGCAACGTGCCATTTTGTACCTGACCTGAGACTGAAGCTCAAAGCTCACAGCGGCGTCTTGCGTTGAGTGGGAAAGTAGGCTACTGGTTGGGGATTGGGGGG